CTGTATTGGCTGCGCCAGGTCTGTTCCAAAACTATGTACAGCAGGATAATTTAATGTGGCTAGGAAGTGAAACTGGAATGGCTTAGATGCATCATTACTGAGCCACACCTTCACCCAAAAACAAAACAAAACAACAGACGGGTAACTAAGGGCTTAGGAGGGTAAGAGTGGCGGCAAAAAAACTTCCTCGCTTCAAATTCTCTCCTTCATTCCTCATGAATTGTTCACTATCAAACGTTTAGGTGGCTGGTGGTTAATGCAAGGCATGTATGAAACACCGGCAAGTTTGCAGTTTGTAACTTTTTCAGGATGTTGGTTAGCATTTTAGGCCATAGATGGCATCCTTAAAGATCATCAAAAGGGAAAGAAAAATGAATTTGTACCACATCTCTATAAGGAAAAAAAACAAAAGTAATGAAACAAACATAAGGCCTTAGAGTTCTTCGGCCAAAATTTTTTTATCAAGTCATCGGACTAAAAATTTGTCAAAATGAGTGCTCACATGGTAACAGTTAGCTTTTGAATTTTAGTTAAAAGGGATGTCTTGAAATTGTTGCTGGTACATCTCGGAGTTGGTGCAATTTAATGGTCAAGTTTCGTCGAGAAGAAGAAATGTCTGGAGCAAAATTTTATACCAGACTTTGCAGATGTTTACGTGGTGTGACCCCTAAAAATTGGTGATGCGTGAAAGCCTTCTATTTGGCACACAGCTGCAGATTGTGTTGTTTTTTTGTAAACAAACCACGATTGATGAATGCCAGCGGCTGGATTGCAAGCGGCTGGGGCTCTTGGTCTTGAAGGACCTAGTGTTCTTTTTTTGTGCATTCACAGGCATAATTCAGATATACGTGAGGCAGGATAGAGCCATATGTTTCCAGGTTCAGTGGGGCCTTGTTCATGCTTGGTGGTTTCAAGTGAGCTCGGACTTGGAAGACATCGAAAAACCTCTGAAAGGGAAATACGGGTTCAGTATGTGTGGTAAGGCAACATCAGGTAGGAGTGAAAATTGAACATAAAATGTGAAGAAAAGAGGGAAAAATTCCTCCTCATAGGATATTGCTTTACACCCGAAGTCAGCAATTCTGGTTTGTTGCGTTACAGAGCAAACATTGCTTACATCGAAAGCATTCAACGCTTTAAGCTGTGCTTATGGTCATGAGTCAGCCGGGATTAAGAGGCTATATAGATTTGGTAACCATAGGAGAGGCTACCTTGCATATTTTGCCTGAACAGTTGTGCGCTGTTGTTTGGTTCTCCCGGCCGAGGAGCATTGTGATGTGCGAGCATCATCATTATTGTGATGTCATACCGCACGTAGATGTTTCGTACAGCGAGGCCGTAGACTGAGTGAGTTTCAGCTAAAATCAGACACGGTTTAACCTTGAACGTCTCGGCTTGTCCAGGCCTAGCACGAGTGTAAAGCTGCATCCATAGCTCGTGCTTGTAACCCAAAATCCGTCCACGGGCACTTCTTGACCATAGTTTGTGCACGTGTTGTACTTAATATATAGGCCTTGCATGTGTACATTCAACACATTTACGGAAAGAGCAGAAAACAGGAAACCATCTGAAAGGTTGATCTTTGCAAAAGCCTAATGCAACAGATCTACGTTGCTGCTTGAGTGCAGACAAAAATAATTTTGTCGGCGCTAGTTCTATGAATGCCTTGGCGGATTTATCAACGGGGTCCTGCAAAATCATGTCGTGCCTCTGTAAGGAAGTTGCTGATTCCGTGCGTCAGTCTCAGCTTATGTGTCATATGGGAAACAGTACGTGGAGGGAGAATTGCAGCGAAAGTGGAGGGAAAATTGTCCTTGCTTCACATATTTTCTTGTGATAGGAAAAACAGATTACTGAAGGAAACTTTCCCATTGTTGCTGGACAATAACCCCAATCAGATGAAACGCCTGTCAGGCGTTGGCAAAAATAGCATTTGACAGTTAGGAAGCCTTGCAGCAGCCTGTGATAAATCACAAGTTTTTGCGAGGCCATTGAAGTAATATTCACTTCTGTGGTTAATGGATGCGAAATGTGCAATCCGCGAACTGTGATGCTCTGTGACTTTCCTCACTTGACAGAGGCTTACTCGGTGGCACCATTGGCGGGAAGGGTGGTAGGCACTCTTTGCCCTCTAACCCCAAACGGACATGTGAAACAAAAACTGTTGGATGGCCCAAAGTCTCAAGATATAATTATATATGACCCTATCTCGCGATGGTAGTCGGTGACCTTGCGAGAGCAGCCGGCGAACCTGTGGGGTCAGCCGACGCCCCTGTGAGAGCAGCTGGTGACCCTGTCAGAGGACCCCATGACCCTGCGAGAGCATCCGGTGACCCTCCATATGATGTGTATGATAACGCTTGAGGACAGTAACACAACGTCGCAAAATCATAACTGCTCGGAGGCTAAAACGTCATGTGTCAAATCGCATGCAATAACACGATTTATTTCATTGTTAAAGGCTTAGAAAGTGTTTTCTACTCAGGCAAAAGTTTCCCTTCGGCGTCCTCGTGATCAGGCTAAATTTTTGGCTTCAATGCTTCCGCAAACCTCCCTCAACCTGAATGGCTCATTCACACCAGATCTTTTCCAGGGCGTCGGATCATGGCACACATGCATAGCCCCAGGCTATAAACCGTGCATCTATCCGCGTCATACTTCTGCTGAATGCGTCATTATTTTCGAAAACTATCGGCGTTGCACAGCAAGGCAAGCTGATTTCGCCCGTCTCCCGTATCGGCAATCTGGGCGGTCCGCAATCGGTTTGGTCACCTGTTTTGGATGCCTAGCGCGTGACTTGTTTTTATCACATTTTGTTGATGATTACTGGAGGCTTAGAGATCGTAGCTTTTTGTAGGCCCAAATATTCAAGACGATATAATTATACATTTCTCATTAGGTATGATGTATTTTTTTCGGCGACCAAGCCTTCCCAAATATAAATATTGGCACCCATCGGCACGCGCTACACGTAACATTTTTTCCCAAGACATCCCCTGCCTTTGGCGCACGCCCGATTCGTTGTGCTGATGATGCTTTGTATTAAAAAATACCCTACGTGAGCACACTGTTCTTTTTGCCCAGAGGACGTGCCTGCCATTTCTCACGTGCCTGGTCACTTGCCTTTTTGACGATGCAAAGGCAACACATGCGTGTTATTCGGAATACGTATTTGGAATATGTACTTTATGTGCTGTCTGTGGCTGGATAAGATCCAAACCCGGTTATTGAAAGACCTGTTGAAGATTTTGTGGCTGAACTATGTTGGGACAAACCAAACGGGTATGCCGCAACACAAGGAAAGATATGTTGCATGCTTTCTGAACCAGATATTTCAGCTGATATATTCCGCTGCATGGTGTCCTCCAGACTAACTAAAACGCGTGAGCAGCTGTTGAAGCTGAATGGTTGCTGTGGGTGGCGCTTGATAAATGTCCGAAATATAAGATGTTCATGAACTGCATTTAGACATTTTGTGTTCATTACGACTGCAATGCGAGAACGGACTATTGCGGACAATTTTGGACAGAGCAATTAATTGCATGTACATAATCCGTCCAAATACCTCATGAAGATAGGCTGCCTATTTATCTTCCTGTCCACCCTGCCGCGGTGGGGGGGGGGGGGGGGGGTCCGGTCGTTTCAGGCGCTCTCCCTTTGTTATTGACGGGCACGGCCTGTGGACAGTGGACGGTGGAAGAAGGGCCGGTCTAACAAACCGCTGACCTCTAACGGTCATGCTAGAGGTCAAATGACGTCAGAGGGCAGGACGGACCGTGCTCCGCGTTGTCGCACGTTCAACTTTCGCCACGGACTCTGCCGTTGACCTGGAGTTGCGCGACCAGATGGCAGGGGTCAGGGCTCGCACAGGGAGCACTACTTTAAGTGGGCTTTGATCCCGGGAAACCTTTCAGCTAAAGGGATCGGATTTAATCTACAAAACAATGGGACTGACCCGCACTCTGGTAGGGGTGGATTGCAAAAAGTTGCGCCCTCTGCCATACGGTTTTCAGAGAATATCTCTCTGGCATGTTGTGCAATCGAGATCAAATTTTCAGTAGCATATGCTCCGAAAGTAGAGAAACTAAGAACGCATTTGTTGTGTCCAAAGACGCACGTTGAGTGCTCCGTAGGCTGCTGAAAATTTGGGCGCAATTGCACAGCATGCCGTAGAGGCATCCTAAAAATCCCCAGAGTTATATCAACCTATCAGGGTGAGGGTTAAACCGTATTGCATACAGAGTTCTAAAAAAGGTGACTTGGTGACCTGACTAGACTTTCCCTTGACGAACCAGATTGGGTCAAGTAACGAAAAATTCGATTAGCTATAGCTAGCACGAAAAGCTGGCCTGGCCTAGCACTAACAGTCCTTTTTTGTCACCTCTGGCCTTATGGAGAAACGCTTTACTAAAAACCTGCCCTGACATCACTGGACACCACCAACGTACTTACATCCCGGGCCCTGCCACACTCGAAACACTCAAACTCTATCACAATCTGTTTCAACTGATATGTTCGCCTCCCGTTCTGTGCTGCTGTGATTCAAGAATCCTCCCAGTCATACGTAACGCTCAGAATGTGCTGAACTCATCGCATGCGTGCCTTCTACCCAGTCAGACTCCAGGCATATGAAATAGATTCGCGAAAATGCTGACAATATATTACAAACATTCACTCAGTACAGGACAAAGGCGAAAGGCCACATGTCATCGCAGGCCAAGCACGTGACGGTGTCTCCCCCGCGATGGTAACCTGTGACGAAAGACAGTGACACGCCGGACTACTTCCAGCACACAGAAGACGCGGGGACACGACATTGGTCACGCACAACAGAAGACGTCTACACGGCAGCGGCTGATCACCAGAGCGCGTGGACGGCTTGAGCTGCTACTGACGGAGGACGAATTAATACTGCAGGCATTGAATGTGATGGCAGACAAAGTCCATGCACACCACAGTTCCAGGAGTTTTCTTTGGTCCAGTATTGTCCACGCTCACAGCTAATCGTAGCTGTTGCCGTAGCTGTAGCTAGAGCTTCCTCTGTAGGGAGTGCTGGGTCCATACACGGCGCGACCACGGTAGCCTGAGCTGCCACCGTAGCCGTAGCCAGACCCGTAGCCGGAACCGTAGCCGGAGCCATAGCCAGACCCGTAGCCGGAACTGTAGCCGGAGCCATAGCCAGACCCGTAGCCGGACCCGTAGCCGGAGCCATAGCCAGACCCGTAGCCGGACCCGTAGCCGGACCCGTAGCCTGACCCGTAGCCGGACCCGGAGCCAGATCCGTAGCTGGAGCCGTAGCCGGAGCCATAGCCGGACCCGTATCCGGATCCATAACCGTAGCTATTCCCATAGCCGGTGCCGTAACCGGAGCCGTAGCCAGAGCCGTAGCCGGAGCCGTAGCCGGAGCCGTAGCCGGAGCGGGACCCGTAACCAGAACTGTATCCGTATCCGGAGCCATAACCGCGCGCATTACCGTACCCGGAGCCGTAATAGCTAGGACCGTAGGTGCGTCGATACGAGTAGCCGTAGCCGTTCCTGGGGTTATAGTTGTAACTGGGGTATGAGTAATAGTTGTAGCTGTTTGTTGGGTAGTAATTACTGTAACTTTTACTTGGATAGTAGTTGCTGTAGCTACGGGCGTAGCCCCTGCCATATGACGGATAGTAGCTGTAGCTGTTCGTGGGGTAGTAGTTTCCTGTTCTGTAGCCAACACCATAGCCATTTCCGTACCCCCGGCCATAGTTCTGTCTGTAACCCTGGGCGTAGCCATTGCCATATCCTCCGCCGCTGCTGTAGCCGTACGGGTAGGTGGCGTAGTTGAAAGTGGGGTAGCTATGGCTGTAGCGCGGGTAGTAGTCATAGCTGAACCCAGGAGAGTAGTAATTACTAAAAGCTCGAGCGTAGTAATTGAAGAAGGCATGGGCCTTGGATTTACCGTAGGCCAGGGCCATTCTTTTCAGGAGGGAGTAATAATAGCTACTGCGCCCACCCAAGAATCCACCCATTCTTCCACCGCCGAATAATCCTCCACGGCCAAGAGCGCCACGGAATCCTCCTACCCGTCGACCTCCAGAGAGTCTAAATCCACCGCCTCCTCCGCCGAATAATCCGCCGCCTCCTCCACCGCCGCCGAAGAAGTTACCGCCGCCTTGATTACCAAGGAATATAAATTGGCGCCGGCCGGGAGAGAAGAATCTTCTTCTGAGAGATGGTCCAAGGACACGGGTGTTGAAGAATGCCCTTCTTCTGAAAAAGGTTCTGCCCACGTTGAATACTCTTGGACCAGCGCCCACAAATCCTCCACCGCCGCCGCCGCCACCACCGCCGCCGCCGCCGCCGCCGACGACGAACCCTCCTCCGAATGCTCCACCTCCTCCGCCGAGTCCCACAGCTGCACCACCAGCCTGTCCAACGCCGAAATCGCCGCCGAATCCACCGCCGGCGCCACCTAAAACGCCGGTGAAGCCGCCACCGCCGGGCGCGAACGCTCCGCCTCCGCCGCCAGTAAACCCTCCGGCGGAGAGTGCCGTGCCTCCAAAGTCGCCACCGCCGCCGCCTGCGCCTCCGAACGCAGCGAAAGCTCCGCCGCCGCCGCCGCCGCCTCCTCCTACGTCTCCGAAACCGGTGAAATCTCCACCGCCGTCGCCTCCGAATGAAGAGAAATCTCCGTCGAAGTCGCCACCGGTGCCGAACGAGCAGTCGTCGTCGTCATCATCACAGTCGTCGTCAGCGGCGGCCAGCGCCACTAGGACGACGATCAGCAACCACTGCCGACGGAGGGCGAGTGTCACCAGAGGCTGGTACTGTTTTAGAGAGTGCAAGAGGCAGATAAGCACGTTTCGGATGCGGTAAGTGGTAGTCAGAGAACCTCGAAACTAAGGAAGTTATAACACAACGCGGCCTGATGGTTGTAGGAGGTGAGTGCTCATGGCTTGAGGGTGGTTCAAAGTATACGAACACAGGTAAGTTTTTAAGTGGTTAGTGACATTGGCTTTGAGGTCGCTATTGAAAAGCGAACACGTTGGAAGTTTGGTACATGAGAAGAGGCCAGCGTGACGTTACTAGGTGTGTGAAGAGGGTACAGTTGTATATGAACATGGTTGCAACGTGATAATGTTACGCTATAAGCATAGTGCGAATGAAGAGGGCTTAGTGGCAAGTGAATACAACTAATGCGCGATTATCACTCGAATACCAACAAAATGGGTGGCTGGGAAGTGAGTATGGCTGGATGCTACCTAGCTGGGGTAAGTACAAACTGTCAAATTTCAGGTTTGATACATCAATTAGTGTGTCAGGGAGACAAATGGGCGAACAGACGGAGCATTTGGACGGGCAGCGTCTGTCTCAGGGACAGGGACCCACTTCGCAAAGGGCCAACGACTGCGGAAGAGGGGAAGGGCTTCAAGCAGCCCAAGTTAGGAAGGCGAATTATGTCAAACAGACAAGGAGTGAGAGATTGGGCCAAAACGTAGGCCGATTACAGAAATGAAGATACTGTGTCAAGCACACACCGGACAAGACTTTTGACTGTTGGGCTGCAAGCGATTAGTTACAGTTAAGCGTTGAGAAAGCTATGAAAGCTGGCCTCATCGCGGCGGAACATGGTGCCGGCATCTCGGAAAAGTCGCCGGAGAACACAATGTGAAAGAAGCAGGGGTGTCCAACAAGAGGCACCGAAGCTGGCGTTCGTAAGAGGTGGTATTCCCCAGGTTCGTTTGCTCGTGTTGGCCGATATGCACACAGCGCCTGGTATTGATAAGGTCTGCAAGAGACAAGCGCCTGGTAAACAGATGGTGGGCACAGAACACCGCCCCCAGGAACCATACGAAATGCCCGCCATTCTCCAGAGCTAACCAGCCCAGTTGGGCCCAATTTCCCGACAATCGTTGGCAGTGATGCACATCTGAAGGCGCCGCGCTGTCCGCTCGCTCCACTTAACTTTTCGGCTGTTTTGCTATCGACCAGCACGGGGCGAGCAGCAGACCAGCGCGGCGCCTGCACCCTGCTCGGCGCACGGTCCCGACGCCGCGCACAGCACTCACCTTCATGTCTGGGCCCGAAGCTGGCCGACCGGGGAGTGATATCTGTCAGCTGAGCTCGGCCTCATTTATAGAGCGGCAATCGTCAGGCAGCCACCGTGCTGCACCAGATGACGTTTTCCGTGTCCGTCTCGCCGGCGCTGCCCTGTTTTCCGCCGGGATCACGGCGGGCGGGGAGGCTGCGTGAGCGGAGCGTGTTCCCAGGGCGCAGACGACGAGATTTTCCCCGACTTCTTTCCTTTGTTAGATGGCGGATTGTTATCGTGGATTTCTATCTTGGTTCGATCTCCGCCCAAGATCGCGGTTCGGTAGGGGGAACTGAGCTGTGGTAAGAACTTTTCTTTTTGTTGACAGCGTGACTGAGTCTGTGATGTGATGTTCGCCAGTTTAAACGCGGGTGGGATGGTCACGACATGTTCTTCGCTGTTGTTTTCGGCGACATGCGAAGCCCAGGCTCACAACTTGGGCGACGAAACTCAGATGGGAGAGCAACACGTTCTCAGGCGGACTAGTCCTACACGTGAAAATCATGCCCATTTTGATAAAATCTTGGTCAAGCATGACCACTCATTGAACACGGGAACACGGTATAAGGACTTCAGTCCGTAGACAATATTACCAACCAAGAAAGATCGGTTGATCGATCATTTGGTATCCATAGTATCATGGAGGGCGCTTAGTATCCACTTAAGTGGCACCATTCACATGATATGAACGGTGCTCTACTCTGCATCACGTGAGCACACTAATGCCTCAGGGTCGCCCGATTCTAGTCAGTGATCTATGGTATTTGACAGGCGGCACAAGATTCTGAGAACAAGGGTGCCACGAAGCCTTGTGATCTCCAGCCTTACTACCTGGGTCATGGGGAAAATGTCAAGAATGCAGGGTCTCGATCGCACGTGACGGTCAAAACGTGATGACTGCGCTGTTAAGTTATCGCGACTGCGGGAGCATTTTCCGCCGCATTTAACGTGTTGCACTAAATACTTGAACAGGACTATTTGATCATTGGGTCTTTGATGCAACTATTGTAATGCTCCCGCGATGTACCAGCTTTGAAGGCGTTTAACGAGAGAGAGCGTTTGCGATGATGCGATCCAAATATTATCGACGCCTGCCTTGATTCCGCGCGCTCCTTTTGTGATATCGTGCCATTAAATTAATCAGACCGTCCAGATAGCTCATTAGGTTAGAGCGCCTGCTTTTCGATCCACCCACCCGTGGCGGGGTGGGTTCGCGTCGCTTCAGTCGCTCGCCACCTGCCCTTGCGTGGTATGGCCTGCGGGTGGTAGCAGCGGCCACGCCAAAGGTCAGGTGACGTCCGAGACCAGGACGGACTGCGCTGAGCATTTTGAGATATTGTGTTTATGTCAGGTCTGCAGCAGTGCGTCCTTTTAAATCTAATTCTTATTACTTAATGTACCCAATATTTCAATTATGTTTCTAATCGCTTTGTTGTTGATGGGTGTAAACAATCTTCTCGATGAGTTGCATATGGAAGCAACGTAAAACTATAAGGAACGGAATGTCGTCTGCTTTTCTCCACCAAGGAGTTTGATGTTTTGCGTGATCTATTTGCTCTTGGAGCAAGTAAAACATGCAACGGAAGCGTAGGTTTTAACTCCGTGGGCGGGCTTTTTTGTCACATTCTCCAGGAACGGGGATCTCGCAGGCCTCCTCAACATTGTCAACAGATGTTCGCATGCTAAGCCAAAATGCCTGCGCACGTAGCAGAACTCTGCGCTGTAACTTAAAGACCACACGGTATTCTTCATGGATCATCGGCCTTCATAAAGTCCACGATCCATATTCCATATCCATATTTCGTGTATGCACATTTAAAACGCGCTCGGGTGGAAGGGATCAAGTTGCCCTCCTAAGGTTTTTTCAAAATATATTTCGAACGGCGGGGTGTATCCACGTAAAACTTAGCATAGCTGTAAGAAACTAAATAGTGGATCTTTTGATATACAACAATGAGATGTATCTCGCGAGGTCACTGACCTAAGGTGGCTCAAAGTCAGGTCGTGGGTGTCAGTGAAGACAATTTTTTTCAGTAAAACGTGTCATCAGTATGCGACGATGGGATGTTAGATGAAAGCATACATCTCCGAAATGTCTTCTATGGGAATAAAATCATTGAATTTAGGATAACAACAAATCCCGTTGATCTAGGGATAGAAATAAATAGAAAAATAGAAGAAAAAATAATAGAAAAAAGTTCAGACCTAGGTAAAAAACAGCCAGCTTTTTACTGGACAGCTTCTTTTACGAGGTAAATAATAAGGCATACTTTAAAATTATTAATAAGCAAACCGCTACAGACATGTTTATATAAATTTTTTAAAGACTGCAATAGGCCACTGACATTAAGTGATCCATAGAAATCCTTTCTTTTGAGGAACGTATCGTCTAGTGTAATTCTTAATGCTTATTGAAGTGAAAAACAACAATCTCATAGGTATTTGGCCACCATAACCTTTAAAGCTCAAACAGCTTTACTTACGTAAAATGAACACCAGTGACGGCTTGCGTAGACCAAGTATCTAGGTTCAATGTGGCTGCATGAGGACGTCTGGGGTCCTATGGACAGCAATTGTCAGTTCGATGTTGCTCTATGTTATTCGACCCAAAGGTCATGATTCATTGACCTCGGGTTTTTATGCAAGTCAGTTTAGTTCAGTTCACATACAGACCAACTAACCCACCCCGTGAATTTGATGTCTCTAGCCCCCTTCTTTTTTAGATCTAGATTCTTTTTTAGATTTTAGTTTAGGCAGGGGTCAAATTAACCCCCATCCCCACCCGAGCGGAGGGTATTCAACCGACCACCCGGGCGCGTGCTAAATATTGATCATTCGCTGCTACAAATACGTTATTGTTATGCTCCGGTTGAAGGGAGTAAC